TGCTTAGGGCATATGTTGTGTGATGGGACATAGGTGATCTATGCCAAAAAATCCATAAATTCAATATGTGTTTGATTTTGGATTTGAATTTATTTTCAGTCATTTATTTAGATACCCTTTAGGGTTGGCAAATGTGATCCCCCTCGTTTAGTTCCAGGACTAGATAGAGTGCTGAGACTCATTGTAGAAGATGTGTACAAATAATAAACCTTTTCCTTTTGCTAATTGGGTCTTTTGTTATTTTTATGTGTCCATGTTCATATGTGTGCTTATGCACATGCAGACATATGTGTGGAAGTCAGAGATTGATGTTGGCTCTCGCTCAGTTGCTCTTATTGTTTTGAGATGGAGTCTTTCACAGAGCTTTTGAGTTTGCTGATTCAGCTGATTTAGTCTCCACCTTCCTAATGCTGAGATGACGGGCATCCCTGACATTTTCACATAGTTGGTGGTGTTTGAACTCAGGTCCTCATGATTTAACAGCAACACTCACTGAACCATATCCCCAGTTCTCATTTTGCTTTTTATTCATTTGCCTATTTTTGCATGTTTTTATTTTCTTGTGCCCCTGTGTACATGTATGCATTTGTGCATGTGAACCACAGTCGAGAAGTACCTGTGGAGGTCAGAGGACAACTTGTAGAAGTTGGTTCTTTCCTTCCACCATCTGAGATAAGGGGATTGAACTCAGGTTGTCAAGCTTGGTAGGACCCTAGAGGCAGGAACTAGAGTAGCAAGCATCCTTGGAGGATGCTTGTAGCTTCTCCTGTCTTGTTCAGTTTTCTTTCTTATACAACTCAAGACCCCTTAACCAGGGGCAACATCATCCACAGTGAGCTGGGCTCTCCCATATCATCAATAAAGAAAGAAAACGTCCCACAGGCTTGCCCATTGGGCATTCTGGTGGGGGGATTTTTTTCAATTGAGATTCCCTCTTCCAAAATTGATGTGAAGGTCTGGACTGGTGTCACTGGACAGGCTCCAAAGCTATGTGTTCCTTAATGGTCTTAGAGTGTTTTCAGTGCCTGCTGCTTTAAGGTGGGTGAGTCAGGTGTGATGGGTGCATGAGAACCACTGACCAGCAGGAGACGTTTTAAATGCAAGAAATAATGTTTGAAGTAAAAACAACAGTTTATATCCTTTTTCTTTTCTGTTTATAAGTTGGAATTACTCCAGAGTAACTTGAGGCCTCTAGTTCCCTGTCAGTACTGTTCTCCTGGCTTTCATGTCAGTAAATAGTTTAAGCCACTTCCCTGGTAGCTCTGTGGCTGTGAGGTAGAGAATATCTCTCTGTAGGCAAGAATGGTTGTAGAAAAAACAAATGTAAGGGTCCAGCTCTGGGCTCAGCTACCCCTGCATCTGCCAGCATGCACCGTAGTTAACAAGTGGGCACATGTGTCTGGCTAAGGACAGGATCTACCGGCGTATTGCCCTACTTGTGTGGACTTTTCATCAAATGTGAAGCAAGTTTTGCTCTCTGATTAGAGAGCAGCATAGGATTAAGAGTATGGTAAAAAGAGAAAATTCTTACTTTTGAAGCAAATTAACATAACAGGATAAAGAGAAGGGAACTGGTCAACTTACTGAAACAAACAAACAAACAAAAAAGTGAGGTCTTACTGCTGAGAAAACAAGAGGCCTCGAATTGGTGATGCCTGCTGACCCCAGAGAAGGCAGACAGGAAGAGGAGAAAGGTCATGATCCTACTTGGAAGGCCTTTCAGCTTGGCTAAGATTTGTAAATAGCACAGATAACTGGAGTAAGCCAGGTAGTTGATTATATATACATACTATGTAAATATTTGGGTTTTTTTTGTTTTGTTTTTTGTTTATCTGTATTGCTTTGGGGATTGTTCTGGAACTTGTTCTGTAGACCAGTCTGGCCTTGAACTCACAGAGATCCACCTGTCTCTGCCTCCCGAGTGCTGGGATTAAAGGTGTGAGCCACTAACGCCCAGCCATATTGTTGTTGTTGTTTTTTATCTAAGGACATACCGTCTTTACAGAAGGCCTGAGATACAGTAAATGAGAAAATTCCACTTGATTTATAGACCTATAGAAACCAGTTAGGAGGCTGAATCTTGGGACAGCAAAGAATGAATATGGTCTAAGTTTTTATTCTTCATGTTTAAAAAAACAAAAAGTCAGAGCAGCACACGCGGCAGGAAGGCTGCCCCCATAAGGAAGGGTCACTGTGAGTTGTCTAAGTTACCTAGAAACTGCATGCTGTGACATGGCATTACGTTTTATATTTTCTTTGGTTTTTTTTAATCCTTAATGTACTTTTTTTGTTTCAACTTAGGGTAATGCATTTTACCACATGAGAACAAGAATTGGTTCCCATTCTCCCTTCTTCCAAGCCTTCCTCACTTCTGCTGGTAGTCCTGGGTTACACCTGTCTAATCCCTTGGGTTGTAACTCTTCCATTAGGAAGACTCTAAGCCTGTGAGGGAGGTTGTAGAACTCTAGTTAGGAATTACGTGGCTGCTCAGCACTGAGAATGCAGACTCAACCCCGTTACTAGGAAGACAGTCACACACACTTCTGATGTTGTAACCCATTGATCAATTCTAGATGACTGTGTGCTCATCTTTCATTGATTCTTGTTTGTTATTTGGTTTTTCGAGACAGGGTTTCTCTGTATTGCTCTGGAAGCTGTCCTGGAACTTGCTCTGTAGACTAGGCTGGCCTCGAACTCACAGAGATCCTCCAGCCTCTGCCCAGTGCTGGGATTAAAGGCGTGGGCCACCACCACCCAGCCTTTCATTGGTTCTTTAGTTCAAGTTGTAGCCTTTCATTAGTGAAAATGTAACAAGTCTCATTTCCATGTTGAGACAATGACCAATTTAAGTCAGGTGATATGCACGTTCTTGATTCTTTTACTGTATTTTGGGAGAAGGGTAGACTGGCTGGTCACACTGGGGTTAGCAGTAGGAGATTTGATTGATGTGTTTGTACTGGTAAATCTCAGTTTCTGAAGATGTGGCTAGTTTAAGATAGAGTAAAGCTGTAAAAGTTCTTCATCCCTTGTACCTGTGATTGCTTCAGGAGAATAGAACTTCGGCTGATTGCTACTATTCATTGTGTTCAGGTATTTTCCTGTATGTCCTAAGGGGCCATTCTTTGGTGTGCTACTGCATTTGAACGCATGAATAGAGTGGCAAATGCTAAGGTTAATAGAAACATTACTCAGATATTATTATTTTGTGCCAGTTTTGCCTTGGCACACCTTTGAATTCCTTCGTATTTATACTGCTTGTTGCTTTTGGAACTTCATTCTGAGACTTGAAGCCCTCATCTGTTTGGGAAAACACTGTAGAGAATTTCTTTAAATATTGAATCTACTCTTATTTCCCCTAGCTTCCCTTCTCAGGTCTCTAGTTCAATATATAAAAGACTATTTTAATCCTGCCCCCACCCCTGTTTTTGAAGTTCTCCTTAAATCTGAAGCTTCTCTTTCCTCCATGGTGATACATTTCATCATTTTAGAAACTTAGTCCTGGATGTTTCCTCCATAACTTTCAGAGGAACGAAAATCTTTGAAAGGAAGGGACAGCAAGGAAATAAGTCCAGCTCCCCAAGCCCTTTCTCTCCTGTATCTGCACAGATAAATTTACACACGTGAAATAAAACTCATGGAAAATAAGCAGAAAGGAAGTTCTTCATGGATCCATGTCCTTTAATCACAAAAACTAAGTTTATTGAACATAACATGTTAAATCTGTTTGAAATGCTCAGTTAACCTTAAGGTCTTAGTCTAATCACATTTTTAAGGGGCTTTTTAAAGTGTGCATTGTGAAACATTTTAAACTTGACCTGTAAACTTAATTCTCATGTTTTTTATTTTTTATTTTTTTATTTTTACTTTTTGGTTTTTTGAGACAGGGTTTCTCTGTATTGTTTTGGAGGCTGTCCTGGAACTCTCTCTGTAGACCAGTCTGGCCTCGACCTCACAGAGATCCGCCCGCCTCTGCCTCACAAGTGCTGAGATTAAAAGCGTGCGCCACCAACACCTGGCTCATGTTTTTTCTTTTGCTTTAAAGTCCTGAATTTTTAATTGTTCATTTGATAAAGTTAATAATTTTCACAATTTATTTTAAGTTGTCCTAGAATTTGAATATATTTCGCTATTAAGATTTTGTCACTGGAGACAGTTCAGGAAGACAAAATATTCAGAGTGTACAATATGACAGGGAGATGTTGCTGAAGTTTCTTTCCAGCTTGGTCCAGCAGCCACCTTGCCCCAAATAAACACAAAGACTTATATTATTAAACTATTGGCTGATGGCTAGGGCTTCTTACTGGTTAGATCTCTCTTAATTATTAATCCATAACTACTAATCTGTGTATTTCTTCATAGCCTTATTTTACCAGAGAACACCTGTCATGTCCCATCTTCCCAGTCTCTACATAGTATCTCTTCGAGGTCTCTTTCTGCCTACCTTTCCCAGAATTCTCCTTATCTCCTAGTCCCACCTATCTTCCTGCCTCTATTGGCCAAACAGCGTTTTATTCATCAACTAATAAGAGAAACATATATACAGAAGGACATGCCCCATCAGAGAGCTCTGCTGAGTCTGACTGCTCAGCTAATAACAATATTATAAACTCTAAGATCAAACAATGCTAAGATGAGCTGGCAAGGTATTTATCATGTAGTCTGAATTTAAATTTTATTATATGCCTTTAAAGCTAGATAAGATGAAAACTTACCCATCTCTTTTTCTGCTTGATTAGTTTTGGGTACTTTTCATATTCAGCTGACTTAGGTGTTATTTCTTAGGCATTTGCTAGCTTGTGGTAGTAGAAGTACTCCAAATTATGTCTGTTCTTTGTTACCTGATGTAAGGTGGTTCTTATCCCGGTGCTGTGAGAAGAATGTCCATTTGAGAGGAACCTACAAATTATTGAGCACTTTAAAGACTTATTTTAAAAGTGTTATTATCTGTGTTGATCTCATTTATTCACACTACTAATGTACTGTTGTTTTTCTCTGTGTAGGAAGGCAGAAATCTGAAAGATGTCTTCCAGTAATGACCACGTTTTAGTACCGATGCCCCAGAGAAACACCAATGGCCTTCCTGGAATGAACGCCAGTGACATGAAGACACTTACAGGAGATGTGTTAAGTTTTCATCACATTACCTACCGAGTGAAAGTGAAGAGTGGCTTTTTTGTCCGGAAAACGGTTGAGAAAGAAATACTCTCGGATATCAAGTATGTGTATGAACTCTTTTAAAAACTGCTTTATTTACCTAGAGTGGCCTTCACAGGACTTCTGTTATCAACAAGTTGTTGTAAACACTTCATGTCTTTGTAACGATGTGTATAGACACATTTCATTTCTTTTGTCTAAACTAGGTTATAAATTCCTGTATCACTTGTTAGGAATATATTTTATTTGCAAAGGGACTGTCAGAACTTTTTAAAAATGATTTCATCCTTTTGAAAATTTTAATGTATCATTTTGTTATGACTGGTGAGTCATGTTTTAGTGATAGAGGTCTGACTTTGCAATTTACAGGGTTTTGATTGTAAAGATGTAACTTCAGGTTTAGTCATCCAGTCTATGAAATAGAAGGCCTCCGCCTCTCACACACACACACACACACACACACACACACACACACACACACACACCTGTGTACATTTGTATTGAAAAGTAAAGACGACGTTGTTTGAGTAAGTACTGTTTAAACAGACATACAGTACGTACTGTGAGATGGCACTCTGAGTGTGTGTATGCATGTTGTGTATGTAATGTTGAGGATTAAACCTAGAACTTTGAGCATGCTAGACACGTTCAGTGTTCTCCCACTGAACCATACTGTGCATCCTTTGTGATTTTTTTTTTTTCAAGCTGGTGAGGACTCCATACACAATGAGTGTATCATGTGTTCCAGGCCTCACAGTACACTGGTGCAATGGCATGCACATTAGCAAAGGAGGAAGCGATTGTCTTAGTATCCCCTAGACTGATACAGTGGAGACAAATCTTGTTTTTTCTTATTTTTGGTTCATTTTTATAGTTAAGGGGACAGCTAGGATTAGTATTCTCACTCACTCATACCCGGCTTGGATTTGATTAAGAAAGGTCTTTCCTTTGCTCGCTGGGTTTCTAATCTTTCTCCTGCCAATGGCTTCAAATAAATTGAGCCTCTGTGGTGCAGAAGGACTTTGACTCACACTCACTTTGTCTCTGTGCTTGACACCTGAGCTTTCCTTTCCTGAGGCTGAAGATCTCTGGAAGAAACCACCATCCCAGTACATGTGTCTGTGTAGAATTGGGCCGGTGTGGGAGGGGGAGATCATTATGCTCTTTCAAAGACTGTTAAGCCAATTGTTTTGAAACCGTTTCAGAATGAAGCTTGTAGGAACATGACAGCCCCTCCCCCCCAGCTTCTCTGTTACTGCTTCACTGATGTGGCTGCCGTCTCTGTCCTTTAGTACCCACTGTCATTGATGGTTTGGGGATCCTTTTGAAACTCGCTATCCACTTGAGACTCTTTTATCTCCAATTCCTCCAGTGTAAGTTTTCTAGAAGGAAGGACCTTCTCAAATGTAATCACTCAGTTATCCAGCAGCAGGCAGGGGGAATTGTCACCTCGTGACAAAGGCACTCAGGCCTCTGGCTCTCATAGTTGAATACCTGCCCATACTGTGGTTTTATTCTTCCCAACCTGGTGTGTCTCTGTTTCATCCAACATGGTGTTCCTTCCACTTGTGATATTAAAATTGATTCCCCGGTGATGCTACTGTTTGTCAAGTTGTACCATAATGTTGCAATTTGACTGTTTCTACTTGATTGGCCCTGTGTGGGAGTCTCCTGACATCCTTCCAGATCCCTGTTTATCATTAAATGTGAACTTGTGAGTTGCAGACTCCATGGTGACACCTGTCTGGGTGCAGCTACCACTGTGACAGTTGCCAGAGAGTTACTTTCTGTTCATCATCTCCTAGCTCGCATTTCACATCTCCTTTCATTTTCTGTTGTGGTTTGAACGAGAACTGTCCCCATAGGCTCATGTGTCCGAACAGGTAGTCCCCAGTTGGCACTGTTTGGAGAGGTTATGGCACCTTTAGGAGGTGAGGCATTGTTGGAGGAAGTGGACTGGCTTTGAAGGCTTATAGACCCTCATCACTTCTTACATTCTCTGTTTCCCACAGCAGCTGAGATGTGCGCTCACAGTTTACTGCTTCTGCCTCTGTGCCTTCTCAGATGCTGTGGACATTTAGCCCTCTTAAGTCAAAGTAAACTCTAAGCCAAACTAAAGTCTTAAGTTGCTTTTGGCCATGGTATTATATCACAGCAGCAGAAGGGTAACCAACGCAACCGTATACATTCCTGGGTCTCTGTTTTCTTCCTAGCATTCAGCAGTAACACATCATCGTTATTTGTGTTGGTACTCCTTTTGTTCCCAGTTTGGTTGCAGGAAAACCTTCAGGGTAATTTGCACTTCTCCTTTGCTTTGATTGATTTCTCATTTTTAGTATTTCTTTGATGACTGGAAGAAGTTCCAGAATCACTGATGACTTCTCCTTCCGGTGACCTGGGTTCCGGTGACCTGGGTTCAGCTGACGTTCATTTCTTTAGAAAATGGTCTTTACAACCAGGATCTGGGTACTTCAAGTTTTCTTTGCTGTTGTGGTGTCATTGCCTCTGTGCTTTCTGAATGGAAAGAGCTAGGTAATATGTGTATGCGTGCATAGACACATATAGACATACTTTTGTTTGGAAAAATACCCTCTCTCACGTTCAGATGCATATAGAGCTTGTTAGGTGGAATGAGAGAGAAGTTAGTAGTGGGCGACACACTGGTGAAGGAGTGCTTAGTTAACGGGCATCACTGTCACCTACACAGGGACTTTCCTAGCTGTGCTTTTCTGTTGCCATCTGCATATAGAGAACACGTAATTCCTCATTAGTATATCAATTGTGATATAAGACTTTACATTTGTTCTGCATTCATATATTTTCTTTCCACTGAAGATGTATAAAGCTTGGCTATCATTCTTTTCTTTTCTCCCTGCTGTCTTGGATATTAAACCTAGAGCCCTGGACAGGCTAGACAAACATTCTATCGTAAAGCTGCATCTCCAGTCTTCATCGTTCTCAGTGTACTTACTGATGAACTCTTATTCTGTCAGTCTTATAAGTCTAGCATGTGGCTTTCTCTTCTCTGTTTCCCACCCTCTTTGAAGTTCATGTTCTTGGGTGCCGGTGTTGGCTGTGTAGAACTTATGCAGTCTTCCTGCTGAGAGAAGGAAATCCAGTAGAAGCGTTTGAGAGTTGTTACTGCCAAATTTTGGCTTTTGAAAACAAGGTTTAATGAATCACAAATTGACCTCAAGTTCACCATGAAACCAAGAATGGCTTGAATTCCTGATCTTCTTGTCTCTATGTCCCAGATTCTGGGATTATAGGTGTATCCACTACATCCCTCTAATTGAAAGGATTAATACATTGTTTGAATAAAAAATAAAAAATGAGATTATAAAACTCAAATTTTGTGGCCAGATACTTTCACTAAGTGGTTTCTAATTTCTTAATTTATTAATAGAACTTAGTTTAAGTGATACATGATAACATAAAGATGGTACTTACTAGTAAGATTGTCTTAACTGTTGGTTTGTTTCTATTTGGTTTAAAAAATTGTTTTTCTTAGAAGTCCCAAGCTGTAATTTCACCAGTCAGGAGGCTGAGAAAGGAAGGCTTCTTTGTGTTGAAGACCAATCGGGGCTACATAGTGAGTTCTAGGCTAGCCTGGATTGTAGTGTGATCCCAAGCTGTAATTTCACCAGTCAGGAGGCTGAGAAAGGAAGGTTTCTTTGTGTTGAAGACCAATTGGGGCTACATAGTGAGTTCTAGGCTAGCCTGGATTGTAGTGTGATCCCAAGCTGTAATTTCACCAGTCAGGAGGCTGAGAAAGGAAGGTTTCTTTGTGTTGAAGACCAATCGGGGCTACATAGTGAGTTCTAGGCTAGCCTGGATTGTAGTATGAGCAACTGTCTCAAACAAAAATCTCAATAGTGAAAACGTAGATTCCTTTATTCCATCACTTTTGAATGCCTGCTAGATTCTTGATATTATATAGATTTTTTTCTGTTCTTGGAGACTTTACATTTTAATTAGAAACTGGAGTACTTCCACTGTCTTAATTTCTGCTGTGACAGAGGATGAAAAGATGCAGCTGAAATGGTTTGCTCTGAACCGGGGGAATGGGTGCATCAGAACTGAGTGTACGCGTGCATGTGTGTGAATGAATGCATGTGTGTGTGTGTGTCCGAGAGTAGGGAAATACCCCTCTTTCAAAACGGACATTCACAGCCATTGTCTATAAACAAAATATGACAAAAAGATTGGCTGTTGCCCACTAAAATGCAATAAACTTGACAGGGATCCTCCATGGAGATTTCATTTTATGCATTCAGGGAGCAAAGTCCTTATGTATCACAGTTCTTACTGGAGGCATCTTGCATGTTATTGAGGGAGGACCACACACACGCAAAGGCTGTAAAGCAATAAATAAGAGTGGGGAATGGCTGAGATGGATTACAGAAGGGTGGAGGTCGGGTGGGGAAGTTAGGAAATTGTGGGTCACAGCAGAACAGAGGTCATCAGCATACACTTTCTATAAAGGGGCAGATAGTAGATAGTTTCAGCTTTATGAGCCATATAGCAGTGCTGTAACTGAGCTCTGTTTATGACACGAAGCTCTGAAAGCATAGGTTTATCCAAATCACACTATTGATGCAAACAGAAAATAGGTGACCAGATATAGTGTGCTGACCCAGGAGGCCCCAGACTTTATTTTTTCATTTGTTTATGTACTTGTTTTCTTAGCTTATTCTGTCTCCTACAGGAGGGTCTCTGGGTCCATAGCATACATCAAATAAGGGTGAGTGAGTGGAGTTGGAATTAACCACTGCCCCAGATTAGAATTCTTGGGATCCAATTTTATTATTTTCTTTAATGTTAGAATTTAGCATAAATATAAGCTAACCTCAGAGACCTATTAAACTATCATAGCACACTGATGTTCAGTTTTTGCTTGCATCATTTTGGATTTCTAAGTCTTTGTTTAAGTATGCATTTTTAAATACTGAAAGACTTTTGTGGCAGTGAACACTTACTGAAGTAAAAGGTTCTTTTTATTTTTAAGCTGTTGCTAGGTAGCTATTGGTAAAGGAGACACATTAAGAGGTATAAATAGATGCACACTGAAAGTTTACCCAGGCATCTCTGTGTTTGTATGTAGGACAAGTATGTTGGAAGGGTAACACAATGAAAGAATAAGAGATTTTTCTATGTTACAATTTGATTGAGGCTTAATGACCTGTTATTATATTTGTCTGCTGTTTCACTGAGAGGCCCATCAGTTAACAAGCAAAGCAAGATGTGCGTTTCACCTAACCTCCACCAGCCACTGTGTAATTTTGACACATCAGGTATAGCAGACAGTGCGTGGTGAGTTCCTCTTGTGTTTGAGTGTAGTGAGACAGGTGCACTAGAGAGTCCATTGCTCGTGACAGTGTATAATCATAAGAAAGATATTTCTGGTCATCATCTAAATAAAACAGTTGGCAGTTCTGACTTTCAATTTGGAATAGATACTGTGTTTTCTGTGGAATATATCTTGACCTCCTTAACAGTTCTAGGGGCTGAACATGACAGCAGGGTATTGGATAGGCCAGCTTGGGTCTCTCTTCAACATTCCTATGCAGCTGTAATGGGCCAACACTGATTCTCCTTTCTCTTGTTCATTTTCTTTAACCATCCTACTTGTCACCTTTAGGACATAATCCATACTTTTTAGATACCATCACAGTCAAGGTTGCTGTAATTTTCCATCTTCATCAATCTAAACATCCCTTTATTTTGTTGAAACAGATGGCTGTGCATTGTATAAGTTATTATTAAACACTTCACAGGGAAGGTACCAATCTCTTCTGAGAGTGTGTTACTAATTCCCTATAGAATAAGTAATTCTCTTTTCATTGTTTCGTGTGTGTGTGTGTGTGTGTGTGTGTGTGTGTGTGTGTGTGTGTGTGTGGAGTGTGGAGAGAGAGAGAGCTACTTTGACTTTTTAATTTGATTAGATTTTAGTAATGAGAGCATCACTCACTGGTATTCTAAAAGTATTGATTATTCTGAACTCGGCAAGGTGGTAAGATACTAATCGTTAGCTTTACTCAAAAACTTTTGTGTACTTTATGTTGTTTTAAAGGACATAAGAGGAATGCAGCATCTTTGCAAACCTTCTTTATTTCAGGAATCCGTTATTCTAAGAATCTTACATTAGAATCTTTCTTTCTTAAAAGAACTTGAGTTGCTGTCATGGGATGGAGCCCAGGGCCTCCTGCATGATAAGCATGGAGTCTGCCACTGAATACTATCAACATCAGAAACCTGGGACATTGGCTATGCCCTTTTCAAAAGATTAAGTTATTTCAAGAGCAAGTTACAAAATGATAATAAAAGAAAGGAATTTATAAGGACCCGGCTATTTCTTATAGGGACTCATGGTTGGTAGTCTTTACAATAGACTTCTAGCTTCAATAATTCTTTTTTATCATTAAGAGGTTGTGCTGGTTTGCAGTTTCATCCTCCTTTATTAGTGTGTGAAGTGCAGGTGTTCAGTTTAAAGAACTTCATGTAAAATACAACATTAAAACAATACGGTTTTGTTTCTAGTGGGATCATGAAACCTGGCCTCAATGCCATTTTGGGACCCACAGGCGGAGGCAAGTCTTCGTGAGTATAACATACTTATAAATAAGCCTTTTCTGCTTGTTAAATAGCCCATTTACATACACGGGTGTTGGCTGATTATTTGTAGTGTATATCTGGTCTAGTCTTAGGTGCCATGGGTAGTATGGGGTTGAACTATCTCATAATTTTGTCCTAAAGACCAGAAAGACTTATTAGGTCAGCTTTTTTTTTTTTTTTTTTTTTTTTGGTTTTTTGAGACAGGGTTTCTTTGTGGCTTATAGACCAGGCTGGTCTCGAACTCACAGAGATCCACCTGCCTCTGCCTCCCGAGTGCTGGGATTAAAGGTGTGCACCACCACCGCCTTCAGGTCAGCTTTAGGAATAGCACATGATGAAGTGACAGGTATATAGTGGTAGATCATATTATGTATTAGTGAGGAGGTAAAAGAATGAAGTAATATTAAAAGTGAAGGCATGTAGAGAAAGTAGAATCAATGTCATGAATACTAGTCAAACAGCATGTTGGAGTTGTGATCTCCAAGGTCCATTGGCCAAGAGGGTTGTTGGGGGAGGTCTTGCTATTTAAGGCATTGTGTTCATGCTTTTATATTTGGGGGTTTGTTGTAGCACATGATGAAAACAAAGTAGAGAATTTAAAACATGTAAACCAAGTTTTTGTTTAGTTCTCCTTGTTTGATTTTGAGACAGGGTCTCAACTATGTTGCCCTGGTTAGTCTGAAACTCACTCTGTAGGCTAGGTTGGCCTTGAACTCACATAGATCATCCTACTTCTGTCTCCTTAGTGCTGGGATGAAAGGCATGTGCCGCCATGATCAGCCTATAAATTTGTTAAAATATAAACTTATCAACTAGTTAAGTTTGAATATTAGCAGAATTTGCATTTGGAGCAGCTAAGCAAATATGGTCTGTATACAAGGAAAAAATTATCCTCACCGTGTACATGTCCTTTACAGGTTATTAGATGTCTTAGCAGCAAGGAAAGATCCACGAGGATTATCTGGAGATGTTCTGATAAATGGCGCACCTCAACCTGCCAATTTCAAATGTACTTCAGGCTATGTGGTTCAGGTGAGTATAAGTGGATTGGGGTGCTATATGTTCAAGTACATTTGCTTATAGTTTAGTTTGCTTCCAACTGAATGTATAGCATACTCGTAGAACCAATATATTCCCATCAGATTTTCATAATTGTCCATTATGTTGGGAGTGGTGTTACAGAGAAAGACAGAGAGGACCCTTGTGGGGTAGTGGTATCAGTTCTGGCTGCTGTCTAATTTCCAAAGAAAAGTTTATCTTTCCTTCACCTTCTTTCTTCCCGTTGTAGATGTGTTTGCTAAATCCTGCCAGGCAGCCTTGAAATGTCTAGTAGCAGTCATTGTATTACCTGTGTCCTGTTTGGGTGTATAGCCGGGCAATGAAAATGATACCATTGAACTTTATAGGTGTCTCTATATGCAACTGCTGCAACATAAGAGAATGTGCAGTTTGCCGTTGCCGGAATTTTACCCTGAACTATATATACTCAAATGATGGTCATAGAAAAGACTGGACTATCTCACTAAAATGCCACCTTGCCTTAAGGATGACGTTGTGATGGGCACCCTGACAGTGAGAGAAAACTTACAGTTCTCAGCAGCCCTTCGGCTTCCAGAGACTATGAAGAGTCATGAAAAAAATGAACGAATTAACAAGGTCATTAAAGAGTTGGGTCTGGACAAAGTAGCAGATTCCAAGGTATGCAAACCCCTTCTAGCATCATAGATGGGAAATAGCCTTGTGTGGGCAATATAATCTTAATTTCAAGTTTCCTTTAATGTCCATGCGATGAGAAAGTAACTGATGAGAGTATATAAGATAGAAATTGTGGTTGGAAAAAAATCTAATAATGGCTGATTCCTGGGGATGGAGTGTGGTCCAGCAGGGAAAAGTGTCCCTCATGTGGCTTTTTCTATATGTCCTTCCTCCAGCCCCATTCTTCAAGTCACAGTTTACTGTGTATCTGCACTAACTCTTCTGCTACTTGTTGAGGAATAGTTCTGAAACAAGAAAGACAGTCCAAAGGTTCTTGCTCTGCATGCATCATTTTTCTGTGATTTGGCTTCCAAACTAGTAGTTGGTCACATTAGGACTTACTATTGTCTGATTTTTTAAGTTCCTCTTCTCTGTGTATTTTGTCTTGTGACAGTTGTATTTCTCCTCTTTTCCTTCTAACTCTCCTTCCTTCCTTTTCTGCTCTCAGTATTTGTTTTCAACTCCTATATGCTACCCTGTGTTAGGGTCTAGAAAGTAACAAAAATGGAGAAGCTGCTTCTCCTTTGGAGTGTTACACAGGATCGGGAAGGGGAATTGAGACAGTGGATGACCTTTACAAATGACCAGTCTGTATAGTTTTGCTGAGCAGACATTTGGGCATTGGGTGAAAATACAATGGCTATAGTTAACCCTCTCCTGCCCATAATTATCTTCCTCCTTAGAGGCAATGGATAATAGTGACTGCAGGGAACTGTTGCTCCTCTTGGTACTTGCTAACAGTCTTTCATGTGTTCTGTATTTTGTTGGGAAAAATGACCTTGGGATGACACCATTTGATTACATTTCTCAATTACTGTGTTTGCTTTGCTATGGCCCTGTTTACCTGTTTGATTTCGTCTTCCTAAAAAACCTTTCTCTTCACTCTGCCATTGTTTCTTCTTTCTGTCTGTATGTGGTGCTGGTGACTGTCCCTTGGGCCTCATTCATGCTAGGCAAGTGCTGCATTTCTGACTATGCCTCCATCTGGTTCTTCACCTTTAGGCACCTGTAAGCTGCTTGTTTGGGTTTCCAGGAGAAATGTAGGGAGATACTTACTGATTTCTTAGAATTACTATAATGTAAATTATTAATTACTTTATTTCATAAAACATTAAGCATAACAAACACAGAGAAAGTAGTCTGTTTACTATGATTCTAAAATTGTTAGATAAAATAATGATATAATTGTTAATACTTATAGACTTCTTGGTTGCTAACATGCCATATTCTCTTCAGCTATTTCTTACTGGAGTGGTTTAAAGAAAACTTCATAGTCCTTTATTTGTGATACGCTTGTAAAACCAGACATAAGAATGTGAGTCCAGCCCAGTTGTAGAACATGTGCTTAGCATGTGCAAGGTCTAGATTCTATCACTAGCACTTAAAATTAACAAATAAATACAGAAAGGAGGATATTTACCTACTTTCTACAATACCATTTTCAACTAACAAAATGAAAATATATATTATATATATACATATATTCATTCTCTTTTGCTAAATTGTCTTCAAAAGTCTCTTGTAATTCAGTTTTTATTAGGACCCAGTTAAGAATCATGAATAATATTGACTATAACTCCTTGGATTTGTATGACTTCAGAGTCATTTGCCACCTTCTGCATCCCTTATCCCAACCCTTCCTGCTGTCCTCCCCACATAATGACAGAGAGATTGAAAAGGTTGAGCCAGTTTTTCTGCAAAATATCTCACTTTCTGGGTTTGTCTGAAAGGGCGAATCAGGATTCTACAGTGAATTAATGTGTAGACAGCATCAAATTGGAGACCGAAAAGTAGTTAACATAGTGTTCTAGAATGTGTACTTTCCTCTCCAACCTTGTCTAAGTCCACTTAGGGACCCTGAGGGGTGGGGGGCGGCAAGGTTTAGGTGCTAGGTGATTAATAAGTTACTGTCAGTGCATTCCCTTTTCCTCTGCATTGCCTACTTCACACTAGATTTTTACTGTATCGTCTAGTGTTCCCGTTCATTTGCTACCTTAAAGCAAAGTGTGAGCTGAAGGACTAGCTCGGTTGGTAACCGTCCCTCTTGTCGTCAGAGTCCATGTTTAACAAGCTGCAGATGGTGGTGCACGCTATTAGCACTGGAAGGGAGGGACAGGTGGAGTCTGAAACCTTGCCAACTTGATGAGTCAGTGAGAAACACTCTAAAAAATAAATTGGATGGCTTCTGGGGAATAAGAAACTGTTAAACGCATGGGCTTCATTTCACGTCAGCCCACCTTGTGGCTCTAACCAGAGCATCTAGTTTACTCATCTGGTAAAAAAGAAACTGCCTTCTCCCAGGTCTTTCACTGTTAGTAAACCAATGATCTTCAGAGCAATGATGACCATGAGATAAAGTGTCTCCACAAGAGACAGGTGCGTTTGCAAGAGACTTCTGGAGACAATCCAGAGACAATGAAGGCTGCACAGGTCAGTCTGCCAAATGATGGCGAGCGTGTTCACTCGTGTTGCTAAAGATGACACTTGCTTCAGGTTGGGACCCAGTTTACTCGTGGTGTCTCTGGAGGAGAAAGGAAGCGGACAAGCATAGGGATGGAGCTGATCACTGACCCTTCCATCCTCTTCCTGGATGAGCCCACAACTGGTTTGGACTCAAGCACAGCAAATGCTGTCCTTTTGCTCCTGAAAAGGTAAATGCTACAAGAGCACTGACCATTCTTTTTTATTTTTTTCCCAAAATCTGGTCACCTACATGTTGCTGGTATTCTTTGTGCAGGAGATTCAGAAGTAAACAGAATCTCTTCCTACTTTGTTAAAGGGAAAGACATGATACTAAGAAAGATTAAGTAAGAGTAGAGACTGATGACTGTCGTGGGGCTGGGTTGCCGTTTTAAATAGCAGGAAGGTCAAAGAGGATCTAGCGCAGGACTTAGGACCTGGGAGTATGGGAGTCAGGGAGTGAGATCAGCTATATCCCACAACAGAATCTGACTGGAGGGAACCGCCAGTGGCCCCAAGGCAGAAGATGTCTGGAACATTAAATAGACATGAGAACCTAGTTACCTTAGGGTCATATTAGGTTGTTTACAGTTGAAGCAAAACTCCACAGACTGGTGTGTTAACAACAGAAGCCATTCTTCTCAAGCACTCTGTGCGAACTTAGCACCTGCAGTCTGGTAAATGATTTTGCTTCTGTAGATCTGAAGTGGATTCCAAGAGTCCTTGCTGGGGGACTCCTTGGAGATATTTTCATTCTGATAGCCCTAGACCTCAGTCCCACTGTGAGGACCAGGCGTCACATGGCTCTGCTCCTCCGGGTGACTCCTGTTGCCTCTGGCTCTTACAGTTCCGGAGTGAATGCTCATCATGAATCTGCTTGCTGCAGTCGCTCTTCCCCCTTTGATTTTTAAATTTCATTGTACATATTTATGTTGCCATGGTGCTATGTTATATAAGGATGTTTTCACACAGACATATACTGTATGTTGAGTGCACCCCTCCATATCCCCTCATTCCCATTCATATTTTCATTCCTGTTTCTTTTCGTCCCCTAGACAGATTCACTTCTGCTCTTATGTCATAAATGCATGCATGATATTATCTATCTACAAAATTAAGGAACCCCAGATGAGAGAAGATGTAGGATATTTGTCTTTATGAGACTGGTTTAGTTGACTCAATGAATGTGACTTTCTCTGGTTACATCTACTTCCTGCAAATGCCATATCTTATATTACCCATTGTCTACCCATTTCTGTGTTGTTGAACACCTAGGTTGGTGCCATAAGTTTCTATGCATTCTCTTTACTTAGTTTCTTCATCTAATGCTATCACTACACACACACACACACACACACACACACACACACACACACACACACACACAGTGGTGCTTACTCTGTAACACTGACCTACAGTTTCCTGAGTACCTTGTCTCCCTTAGGTCATTCCTGTGAGGCCCTTGGTGATCTATTTGATAAACTTCAGACTGAGCTTCACGTTTTGTATTTGATCATAGTTATTTCCCAAACTTGGAATAGCTTACAGGTTACCTGGACTGCTTGGTAAAAATATGGGCTAAGGGCCCTTTGCTTGGTTTTCTTGCCTGTTCTCTTCCTCTAATAACGACGCTCTGGTAGATATACTGTAGTACTGAGTCTCGCGTTTTGTATGTTACAGGTGCTGCCACACTCACAGAGCATATTCCGTAGGTCACACTGTCATCATAGGGCTGCCTGATGTTCTGCATCTTTGTCGTCTGTTAAGCTTCATCATGGCCCCTTACAGCAGCCCTCCTCCCCTTAGGCACTCTTAATGCTGCCTCAAAACCCCTGACAGCTGTTAGGGTAACTTCCGAGCCGGGAAAGTGAGGGCCTAGGAGGAGTTAGACAAACTCCCTGGTAGGCAGACATGGAGAGAGAGACTGGGAATAGATTATAAAGATAATGAGTTTCCAAGATTGCCCAGCGTCTTCCTCACCCTCCTGACTGAGACAAAAGACTGGCAGCTGAAGACAAAGGCCTACTAGTTTTTACCCCCTCTGGTGGTATGTCCTCTACCCCTACTCCACCACACCACCCTGCCTGTGGACCATTCCGACAAGTTCAAGACCAAACCAGGATGGGTCTACCCTGAACTTGTGGACCCTGATTCTGTTCAAACTGACCAACCCTAAACTGGAAGAAAACAGGTCCCTCAAAAATCCTTTAAAACTCCAAGTTCTCAGTGAAAAACCAGGGTTTGGTGACCATATCCCTGAGCTGGGGGTCTTTCTTTCTGTGTAACCTGCCATATGTGTTTCCTCACCTTAATAAAAGTCTTTCTTGTGCATGCGTGCATGGGTGCGTGGGTGCGTGAGTGCGTATTCTCCCAGAGATTCTGACTCAGTATCTGTGAAAACTGTCTCAGTGTCTGCATTTGTCAATAAACATTCTAGTGGACTCTGCTCTGCTCTGGCTCCTTTCTTAAGAAATCATGGCTGAATTTGTTTGTCTTGGGTTTCTGTTTGTTTGTTTCTAAGGATTAAGCCCAAGGCCTCGCACATGCTAAACCCTTTATTTACAACTGGTTTCCAAGGATCAACTGTGCTCCCAGGTGCTGTAGTTTTTAATACAGGTATCAAGCTTCATCTCCCTAGGAATCAAGCAGATACCTTGAGATGAGCTGATGCAATATGTGTATAGGAGAAAATCAAGTTGAAACTTGGGACAGATGTTCTGACAGCTGGAATAAAGCATTACTTTAACGATAAATGTAAGGATGAGAACCCTAATGACTCATTATTTGCTTCTTGTAACTTAGGATGTCTAAACAGGGTCGAACAATCATCTTCTCCATTCATCAGCCTCGGTATTCCATCTTTAAGTTGTTCGACAGCCTCACCTTACTGGCCTCAGGGAAACTCATGTTCCATGGGCCTGCACAGGAGGCTTTGGAGTACTTTGCATCCGCAGGTATGGTTGGTCGTTTTCCTTGTGATAGGTCCTTCCTTGGCAGGATGGCGGCTAGAGCAGAGGGCCCACAGGAATGCTGTTTAGTCTCCATGTAGACTTACCATGCTTCTCCCGTCCTAAGATACTTTGCTCAGTTTTGTGTTAGCGTTTTTCTTCGTCTTGTGCCTGCTTGTTTAGATCTTTCATTTTTCCTGTGCTATTTGTGTCATTCATGTCTGAGTGTATCTAGCTAGTGGACCTGTACTGCTGCTGTTTCCCTGTCATGGTGGTCTTTGCAAGTGCGGTAGTCATCATACAGTCAGTTAGCATTTTGGTCAGTTGAACAGTTTGGGGAAGACCTAGGATGGTTGTCTCCTTGACTACTGGGCAGACCCCAGGTTTTCAAGTGTCACCAGGCATGTGGTCTTACTGTGCTTTATTGAGGGCTTAGCTTTCTAGCAGCATTAGGATGACCGTTTAGTCTGTGAGTGGTCTGAGTGCCTAGTCTCAGACCTCACTCTGAGGAGCCTGCATTTTTGACACCTCTGAATTGCTTTCTTCTACTTCAGATTAAATTGCATGGCTTCTTTTTAGATTTATTTACTTTATATTTTTATGTATATGGGTAGTGTCTACATTATATATGTGCACCCAAGTAGGGCTGGTGCCACGAGAGGTCAGAATAGAGCATTGGATCCCGTTAGTACTGGAGTTACAGAAGGTTCTGTGTTGCCATTTAGGTGCTAGGAGCCAAACCTAGGTCCTCTGCAAGAGCAAGTGCTCTTAACTGTTGAGCCATTTCTCCGGCACTGTGATTTCTTTTTAAATGCAGTGTGTATAATCTTTTTTTTTTCATTTTAGATATACCTGGCTAAGATTATAGATGATTGATTTTTCATGACCTCAAATAAAATATTAAATATTCTTTGCATTCTTACATTTTAAAAACATAATCTGTCATATAAAATAAATGAGCATCCTTTTGGTTAAGAGCACCGGCTTCTCTTCCAGGGGACCCTGGTTTGATTCCCAGAACTCAGAGGATGACTATCAACTGTGTCTATTTCCTGTCCCCAGAGAACGCCCCTCTTCTGGCTCTGCAGGCACCAGACCCACATTTAGTACATGACATACATTCAGGAAAAATACCCATACACATTTAAAAAAAGATTTTTGAAGAAAAAAGTAAAATAATTGAGCCCGGTGATTGGGGGCTTCAGTGGCTATGAATTTGAGACGACTTCAGGCCAGTCTGAGAGGACTGTAAAGCGGAGTTGAGTTAAAAGTGCGCTGTACTGTCTGTGTTCTCTTAAGAGTGCTGCCCACATTTGCACTCTGCTGGACTGTGGCAGTGTGACATGAGAATCACAACCTCTCCACTTAGCTCAAGAAGCAATAGTGAGTCGCAGATCTGAAGTCAGAGCACAAGGACAGCTACTGGTTTTATTTTTGTTGGTTTGGTTTTTTGTTTTGTTTTGTTTGTTTATTTGTTTGTTTTCTGACCTGGATTTAGATCTTGGAAGGAAGACTAGCAAGTAGTTCCAGAGCATGTCAGTAGCCCTTTGTAGATCATAATTTATGGTAAACACTAATGTAAGATGTTCTCAAGTGTCCAAAATTTCTTCTGAGTTATGGGAATATTTGATAAAAATTTCAGAGAACAGGGTGTATTAGTGAAGAGGAAAGAGTGAGAAGAAGGAGGACTTGTTAGATTCTGAGTCCCAAGCCTCCCCTCCCCCACCCTCTGTGTTTTCCTAGACCATCAGGTTTGTGTCATTGCGTTGCCTTCTCTTCTAGGTTACCACTGCGAGCCCTACAATAACCCTGCGGATTTCTTCCTGGATGTCATCAATGGAGATTCTTCTGCTGTGGTGTTAAATAGAGAGGAAGGAGAGCAGGAAGGTAGGTGACTATTAGAAATCATTAGTGTCCAGTTGGTTTGATTAAGTCACAGTAGTGACGCTCATTGAAACATGCCTGTGTAGGCCAGCATACTGAGACCCTGCCTCAAGACACAAAGATGCTTTTAAATTCATGCTAATTCAGGGCTGTGAACGTGGTTGGTGGACAGTCTGTAAGTACTGGGGTGTTTATCTAATTTGTAGTGAGCGTTTTCCTGAAAGTGTCAGTTGTAAGGCACCTTTCCACTTTAAAATAGTTATTAATCAGCCGGGCGTTGGTGGCGCACGCCTTTAATCCCAGCACTCGGGAGGCAGAGGCAGGCGGATCTCTGTGAGTTCGAGGCCAGGCTGGACCGACAGCCTCGAAAACAATACAGAGAAACCCTGTCTCGAAAAACCAAAAAATAAATAAATAAATAAAATAGTTATTAATCAGGGTTCTCGAGAGGAATACAGCTAATAGATTGGGTATATCTGTATGTATGTATGCATGTGTGTATATGAGTGGTCCAGCTAGTTCAAAAATGTCTGTCTACTGACAGAAAGTCCAAGAATCCGGTAGTTGTTCAGGCCCTGAGGATAGCTGTCTCACGTGCTCTTCGGTGTATGTCCTGAAGAAGCAGTGTCTAATGTCAGTGAAGGGATGCCAAGCAGCAGGATATGTGAACTTGCCAGTAAGGATGGGGACAAGCAGGCGAGAGGCAAGACTTTCCTTCTTGCATGTATTTTATATAGGCGGCCACCAAGAAGTGTGGCCCAGATTTAGGGTTGGTCTTCTCACCTCAAATTAGTCAACCAAGAAAAAATCACTCACAGGTGTACCCAGCCACTTGGATTTTAATTAATTCCAGATGTAGTCAACTTGACACCTAAGACTAACCGTCACAAGTATTTTATAAACCAACTGGAAAGGGTGACTTAATGCTTTTTTGTTTGTTTGCTATTTCGAGGCAGGGTTTCTCTGTATTGTTTTGGAGGCTGTCCTGGAACTCACTCTGTAGACCAGGCTGGCCCCGAACTCACAGAGACCCACCTGCCTCTGCCTACCAAGTGCTGGGATTAAAGGTGCACCACCAACGCCCGGCTGATTTAATGTTTTTAATCCCAGCACATCAGCACTTGAGAGGCAGAGGTTGGCAGATGCCTGTGAGTTCAAGGCCAGCCTGGTCTAGATATTAAATTTCAGCCAACCAGGGCTACATAATGATATCCTATTTCAAAACAAACAAACAAAGCAAAATCCTCAAGAAATGGCACTTTATGCATTTGTGCATAGTAGAAGGCAAAAAAAAATCTAACTGTATCGTATCTATCCTTGTGTTTGAATAATTAGGGTCTAAACTGATAGAAAAGTATCCATAAGATGTGGCCATGCACATATCAATTAGCTGTTTTTATGACATGTAAATCAATAACAGAGTATGTAATTTTATTATTTTGAGAGTATTTTACTGTGTAGCCCTGGCTAGCCTTGACTTCGTTACATAGACCACACTGTCCTGAGATTCACAGAGGTCCATTTGCCTCTGCCTACTCAATGCTGGGATTAAAGACACATGCCACCAAGTCTGTCACCACTCCCAGAGACAGTGGGATCTGGGAGAATGGGGCTGATAAATGAGGTGAACTAAAGTCTCATGCACTGCCAGCTTTATTCAGGGCCTCAGACAATTTGTACTCTGAGGGCTAAGGAGTCACATGAGTAAGGTTCTCATAAGTTCAAGCTAAGCACAGTCACAAGGACAAGCCACACATGGGGAAAAAAGAACAAGCAAACCAGGGAGCAATAATGAGTAATCCGAAGTAAACTCACTCCTGTCTGCTACACCTGGACAAGCACAAACTCACATTCCAAGAACAATTCCATGCTTTAAAGAAACTGAGATCGTAAGGTGTCTTAGTTAGGGTTTTATTGCTGTGAAGCGATACCATGACCACAGAAAATCGTGTAAAGGAAAGCATTTAATTGGGTCTGGCTTTAATTTAAGAGGTTTAGTCCATTGTCATTACGGTGGAAAGCACGGGGCATGCAGGCAGACATGGAGCTGTAGAGGAGCTGACAGTTCTCCATCTGGGTCCACAGACAGCAGGAAGGGACACTGAGCCTGGCTTGAGCATCTGAGACCTCAAAGCCCTCCCCCAGTGACACTTTCTCCAACAAAGCCACACCTATTCCAACAAGAACACACCTCCTATTAGTGCCTGTCCCTATGAGCCTAAGGGGCCATTTTCATTGAAACCACCACATAAAGACACTTGTCTCAGTTTCCTGGAGTGTTCTCACAAGCTCTAAGAGTTCTTTACATGACTCCATTCCTGGACGTGTTCTAGTACATGCCCAGCCAATATACACAATTGTAGAATTAAGGGATTCTAGAAGTATGGAACCATAGAAAAATGAGTTAAATTAGCTGTTATGTGTTAATATTTCACTTCTCTATCCATATTTTTCCAAAGCAAACAAAACTGAAGAACCCTCCAAGAGAGAGAAGCCAATAATAGAAACCTTAGCTGAGTTTTATGCCAACTCCCCCGTCTACAGAGAAACAAAAGCTGACTTAGATCGACTTCCAGTGGCTCAAAAAAAGAAAGGAATGTCAGCCTTCAAAGAGTCCACATATGTTACCTCCTTCTGTCATCAGCTCAGATGGATTGCCAAGCGTTCATTCAAAAACTTGCTGGGGAATCCTCAAGCCTCTATAGCTCAGGTAAACTGACAAATGCCAGTTGTACTTTGAAATACTGACAAGGTTGTCCTGATTCTTCCTCTCCTGCTACTATTATATCTGCTTCAGGATTTTATTTATTTTCTAGTTATCCTTCTATTTTTCTGGCATTCCACAGTATCTTTATTAACAGAATCTAGTTTCAATTTCAAATTGTAAACAACAGTCTTCTTTGTGTTTCTCTCCCCTGAGTAGTAAAATTCATGAAAGTCATTCTTAGTTCATGAATGTATAAAAATATGTAGCTGGCCCAGTTTGTCATTTGAACCACAGCTTACTGATTTTTGTATAGGACTTCTTTTTTATAATCCATGTCCTTTATTTCCATAAGCATTGAGTTGATGCAATATTTTATGGTGTTACGATGGCAAATCTTTTTTTTTGTTTGTTTGTAACAGGTGAACTTTGGTTTGAACCAGTTAGTTATTTACATGATTTAGACTTAGTATATCACCAGAGGTGGTTGCATTTGGAAGATCTCAGAATGAATGTGGTACCTGCAATAAATATATTTCATCTGTTTAATGTGCTAACTTTTTTTCTGATTAAATCCACTTGGAAGAGATTATTAGTCTCTTATAGAGTAGTTATCAGCTGACTATGGACTTTTGTGTTTTAACTGCAGCACAAACATCACTCAGAACACACTTTCAAAAAACGGATGAGTGTATTTGGATAAAGATACAATAACACTTTTGAAGAATTTATTTTTTTACACCTTTGTTCAAAAATGCAGAGGTCAGATTGAGAAACCTCATAGACTCCTTTGTTCCATTGTATAAGACTTAGCATGGCTGTTCCAAGTCTGTCTGCTTTTCTGTTTACTTTGGTAAAACACTGGCCTAATGAATCACTGGGGAGGAAAGGTTCCAGATTATAGTCCATTATGGAGGGCAGTCAAAGAAGGAACTGAAGCAGCGACCATGGAGGGTCACTGCTTACTTGACTTGTCTCCCCTGGCTTTCTTATATGGCTCAGGCCCACCTGCCCAGGATTAGCATTTCTCAAAGTGGGGTGATCCCTCCTACATAAGCTAGCAATAAAGACAATGCTCCCCAGACATGTCCACAATCCACTCTGGTGAAGGCAGTTCTTCAATGGAGCTTCCATCTTCCATTCTGTGTCCAGCAGACAACCCAGACTAGCCACCATAACAAGTACTCCTGGTAAAGGATGGACAGGATCATAAGGGTTAATTCTTCTGACAGTGTGGTTCAGAGATGTCTAGAATTGGTTTTAGAACCTGGAAGCTTTTAGGAAACATCCTAAGAGTGACACTTGCAGCGTGAGTATAGCAAGTTTGAATGCAAAAGAAACAATGTAAAGTGTATAATTTAGAATAGTGAGTACTCCTTAAAGTAGTACTACAGATTGATAGAGCTGTCAAAATTTGTTTTATAAGCTTGGCCTCCTTATTAAAGTAGAAGGGTTAGAAAAAATATGTCAGGGTAATAGGCTTTCCCCATCCTAAATTTCTGTCTTAATAGCAAAGAGATTTGTAATTCTCTCCTGAATATGGTATTTCCAAGTCTTCACAGGCCACAATTCTGTTTTTCTACTTCGCCTTGTGTCTTGCCAAAAATGGTTTTCACAAAGTACTTTATGTTAGGCTGGAGAGATAGCTCATCGGTTACGAGCACATACTTCTCTTGCAGAGGACTAATGTTCATAGCTCTAGCTCCAATAGGAGCTGACACCTCTGGCCTCCTTGGGCACATACTCTCATGTTCACATGCGTGTGCATGCACGCATGTGAGCACACACGCGCACGTGCGCGCGCACACACACACACACACACACTTCATGTTTTGAACCAAACAGTTGACTTTTTCATAGATATAGATGTTCTTCATCGATGCAACTATGTAGAATATTAAATGTATACTTATAACCAGTTTTAGTTCTGTTCATGCTGTACTTACTTTTTGATACTTTTAAAGTATTAAGAACTTTTTGAGCTTTGAAATTCTAAGATATATAAATGAATATTTCATTTTCTTTAAATGAACAGTTCTTACATTTGAAAAATTACCTGTGAATAATATACTAATAAATAGAATCCTCCAAATAAATAATATCATTATATAACCTTTAACCCCTTGCTGCTGGAAGCATTCTTAAAATAACTTTTTTCCAAAGTGATGCTGGTGCATTCTCCTTGGGAACAGTGTGCACAGATTGTTTAGGTGAAGGTAGGTCAGTGTGTGAGGATGCAGAGGGAGCAACTCAGGTGTGTTGTGTTGTGTTGTGTTGTGTTGACAGAAATGCATTGATGGAGAAATGGGGAGAGCGGAGACAGATAATGAAAGCCATGCATGTCCCACAAGAAGAAGGGGTTTTTGTTTTGTTTCTAGTTTTTTGTTTGTCAGTGATGCTGTACATTCCCATGCAGGCACAGGCTCTCCAGAGGTTGTTTTGGTGTTTGTCAGTGATGCTGTACATTCCCATGCAGGCACAGGCTCTCCAGAGGTTGTTTTGGTGTTTGTCAGTGATGCTGTACATTCCCATGCAGGCACAGACTCTCCAGAGGTTGTTTTGGTATTTGTCAGTGATGCTGTCCATTCCCATGCAGGCACAGGCTCTCCAGAGGCTGCAGAGGTGGGCTCAGCTCACCCCTATTTCTTTAGCATGCAAAATTCCATTGTCAGAATTTGAAGGTGTGCATTGAATTTTATCTTTTTTTTATCTTTAACATTAAAAGAAAAGGCACCCTGTTTCACTTAAACCTCTTGCATGAAACTTTGTTCATTGGCAAAAATGTTTAATTCATTTCAGCTCAAAACTCTTAGAGACACATGGACTTTGGTTTGTTCTCGAAACAACCTCTTCAGGTTATTGAAGGTACCATTCATGGTTCCAGTGTCCAACCTCGCACTTCACTGACTGGTGGAGTGCTGGAAGGAGTCTTAGGGGTTATTCTGTTGACTCATCAGTTCCCTGACACTTGATTTTCTGTTTGCTCTAGAAAGCAATCTAATATATTCTATCCTGTACTTTCCCAGGAACCATTCCATAACCAAGTGTTTATGAGACTGAACTTTGTATATATATTTTAAAGTAATAAATAATATGCAAGCATTTTAACCTCTCATGGAAATTCTTCTCATTTTTATTTTTCAAAAAGATAATTGTCACAATCATACTGTCACTGGTTATTGGTGCCATTTACTTTGACCTGAAAAATGATCGCTCTGGAATCCAGAATAGGTAGGTAAATTTGGATTTTTTTCCCCTCATTCTGTAGGATAGAAATTAGCATGGATTAAGTTTTTCACCTATACCTGTTGAACCATCTCCCTGGGACCCCTCTCTATGTTAACCAGAACAGTTTTACTTTAAAAAAAAAAGAAAAAGAAAGAAAGAAAGAAAGAAAGGGAAAGAAAGAAAGAAAGAAAGAAAGCTGTTAGTGGCATGTCATTTGTAGACTACTAACCTAAGTACACAAAGCTGACTGTGTTACTTCTGTTCCCATTCTGTCCCGGCAGAGCTGGGGTGCTGTTTTTCCTGACCACCAACCAGTGTTTCACCAGTGTGTCAGCTGTTGAGCTCTTTGTAGTGGAGAAGAAACTCTTCATGTGAGTAGTCTAGCTGTGTGTCATTCATGTGAGTAGGTCACTATTCTAGCTGTGTGTCAAACTGGTCACATCCAAAACTGGGTCAAAATATCATCCTGATAGTGTCAGTATCTTTTTATTTGTTCAGTTGGCAAATATAAATTGCATGCATATATTTATGTTATACAATATGGATTTTTGAAAATGCATAGGATTGCAGCATTAAGAAAAGGCAGTCCTGGGAAGAGTGGAAAATTAAGAGTTCACGGTGCCTGCTAAGCAGAGAAAGGAGATTTTCAAGTTTGGGTTCAGGTTAGGAAATCCTAGTGCAGAGAGAAAAAGTATCATCAGCTGCTAACTCCAGCAAAGGACGTTTGAACAGTTTCAGAACAATTAGATGGTTCATGAGCTAGAGTGGTAAAATCAAGGCGACAGAGGAAGAGCAAGTACAAGCCTTGGCGGGTAGAGGCACGGAAAGAGCCAGAGGCCAACTTCACTGTAGGCAGCTGGCTGGCTTTGGTTTTCAAAGGTTGGAGAGATTTGCCCACCTTTATTTACCAGCAAAATGAATCAACCGAGAGCAAAAGAACAAAGACACTGGAGGAAGAGTTTGGAATAACTGGAGAAAGATGTCAGGAACAGAGGGATTAGATTTGGTAGCTGGAAGGGCTGGAAGGTTGGAAGGTATGGCTGTTGAAGGAAGTTTTGCTGTGATGCCAGCGTTCATAACAGCCAGAGGAAGTGCTGTGTTGAGAGATGGTCACAGCGTACGAGCTTCCTGAAGCTGATAGCCCAGGAAGGGGGACACCTGAGATGGCAAAGGGCGTTGGGAGTCAGCCTGGAGCATGTGGGATGGCTGCCTTATGAGAAAGAACTCAAGTAGTGCAGCTGGTGGCCCGTCTTCTGTTCCGTGCCTTCTAGACTAATGTGGGATCTGTGCTCTGTTTTATAGACATGAATATATCAGTGGATATTACAGAGTATCTTCTTACTTCTTTGGAAAGCTGATGTCTGATTTACTGCCCATGAGGCTTTTACCAAGTGTTATATTCACTTGTATATTATACTTCATGTTGGGTAAGTAACAGGCCAAACAAAAGTGCCTTTAGTCTTAGATGTGAAGTGAAGCTAGTTCCTCTGTGTATATTTTTATTTACCTTTTTCTATGTGTCTATATAAAAAAGACATAAAAATTTAATAACTACACATATTCTGATGCATGTTCTCTAATAAGAAAACAAACCATGTTGATTTTGGGAGGTTGTTTATTTACTAAAAAAAATCACTGATAGATATAGACAGATTTATTTTTATATTATGCTCAGACTTCAACTTAGGGTCCCTGCATCAAAATTTCCATATTTTTCACTGATACACGTGCACATGCATACGTACTGGTAATTCCATTTTTACAAAGCACTGTAGTATGAGACCCACTGATAGAGATTAAAACTTCCATTTTATAAATGAGGCTTATCATAAAGAATATAGCAGCCTTAGGTTCCTAACCCATTTTCTTGCCACTGTTTCAAAATCATCAGATTGTATGGCATATACATAATCATATATATGTGTACATATATACATGTCATAGTTTATAGAGTACTTCAATAACTTAGTCCCATTTTTTATGTCTAGGGAGACATAGATGATAGAAGGAACCCCCCTCCCCCACCTTTTGTATATTAAACCACCCTGAGGTCATGTAATTTTGAACCAAGTTTCTTCACTAATGCAGTTACAGCAAACACAGAGATGTGGGGAAGTCTGGGTAAATGACTGTTTCCTGCTGGTGAGCTTGCTGTGGTGGGAGACGGCAGTAGTATGGGGCCAGGGTGTTTCCTGTAGGTGTCCATCTAAGGAGCTCAGAAGTACTCTTGATACCTGTAAAGAAAGTCATGTGATCTGAAAGAGTGCTCTTAAAATAAGCATGGAAAAGGAAACTGTGCTACTTGATGCCGTGACACAGAACAAAACAGTGAAATTGGTGGCCCAGAGTCATTGGATAATGGGTGACCTTTTCTCATTAATTCTGGTAGTGATTTCTATAGTGTTATTTGAATGCACATGAGGCAGCTGCACTGATTGCTTCTTTTCTTTCTAAGGATTGAAAAAGGAGCCAGGGGCTTTTTTCATCATGATGTTCAGCCTTATGATGGTGGCTTATACAGCCAGTTCCATGGCACTGGCCATAGCTGCAGGCCAAAGTGTGGTATCCGTGGCAACACTTCTCATGACAATCTCTTTTGTATTTATGATGGTGAGTATAGACAATGCTTCTCCGAGCACACACGCCTTGCCTTATTTCCTCTGCATATCCATCCATCTGTTGCAGAAGTCTGCTTATGGGTTCTTTCCACTGGGACTGTGACAAGTTCAGAATGCTCAAATAAAATGGCTATTAGGGAAAGTAATGGCCTTCCTCCTAACCTCTATCAAGTCCCATGTATTGCTACTTAATCTTGTGACTTTGCTAGCATTTCCTCACTAATGAGCTTTTAAAAGATGAATTTTATCCAGGTGTGGTGGTTATGCCTGTAATCTTGACACTCCGGAGTATGGCTATGCATTCAAGCCAAGCCTGAGCTATACAGTGAGACCCTGTCTCAAAATTGCTGGCATTGAAACCACCGTACCCTGTGAGTTTATTGTTATTCAGTAAACTCTGGTATCATAGAAGGGGGTGGAAAGAGTTCCAGAAATGGGAAAAACTTCTCAATGATGTTAGAAAACCTTGATAAATAGAACATCGAAAACAGGAATTGTCATTGACTCCTTGAAAAATGACAGCATATCTTTCATGGTGTCTACTATTTAGTAACCAGAAATGGTTTGGTTGAATTCCCACAAAGGAGAAAGAAAGTGGAGCTTGTGAAAAGGCTAACAGTGTACGAAGCAGTCTATCTTGGGTTCCTCTTATAATTTGAATATTAAGTGTTTTAAAAATAGTAAAAAATAAAGCACGGTAGTGTATGTTCACGATCTCAGCCCTTGGGATATCTTAGAGACAGAGGGATCAGGAAATTGAAATCATCTCTAGCTACATAGTAAGTTTGAGGGCAGCCTGGGCTCCCTGAGACCATGCCTTTAAAAAGAAAAAGCGAGACACTTTTAAGGTATACCTACCTTTAGTAGGTGCCTACTTACTTCACCTTGTTTGTTCAATGTTTACTCACTCCCAGTCTCATATATATCTCAGTTTTGCAATGAAGTGATCAAGAGGATCAGCTCCCATGTTTTTTCTCCTGCATCACTAAAAGGGAATAGCTAACACATAGACCACACAGCCCTCTTCACTCCAGGAGGCTGTCTTTCAGTAAGATGTCATTAGCTGAGGTCTTGCTAAGCTTTAGTTCTTGCATTTTTGAATTTTGAAACTACTAGTGTATGTATTATTTAGAAAATGCTCATCCTTGTTTATATTCTCATCAAATAAATAAAAGCCTTTAAACAAGTATAAAAATATGTTTTAATTCCAGTTTGGACTTACTGCTTTTTAAGTGTTTATAAATAGGACTTTAAAGACAATCATCACTCTATATTCCCTCAGAGATGGTACATCAAATACTCAGTACTTGGTTAGCGCAGTTCTAAATATGCACACAGCCAACAGCACTGTCATTGTCTTGCATATCCCAGCTCTCTTAGTATGACAGAACACATTCCATGAAAACCTCATTGTGCCTATTTTTAATACTGAACAGTCAATTCCTGGCATCTCCACTGTGGTTCTGTTTTAGGGACAGTCTTTTCATTTATTTTGATTTTTAAATTATGTGTACATATGTGCATCTGTATAGAGTATATGCACAAGTGTAGTGATCTCAAAGGTCACTACATAAGACAGCGCCAGATACTCTGGAGCTAGAATAGTTGTGGTTGTGGCCACCTAATATGGGTGCTGAGAAAACTCAGTCCTCTCCTAGAACAGTAATTTCCCTTGGCTACTGAGCCATCCTTAGCCCCATAGGCAAGCTTATATGGAGGTATTAGGTGTGTTTTCTGCTGCACATCCCCACAAAATGCTCTTATCTGTTCTAAATTGGAGATTATCTTATACCTGCATTCTGAACCTAAAATAGTTCTTAAAGCCATCGTCTGGATGTATAGCAGGGTTTTGTTTTTATTATGCTAGTGTATTCTGGATTTCCAAGATGATTAGGAGGTGTGTACATGGGTGGCATAGTTAGAATCACAGAACAGTCTGCCTCCCATGTGCATATCAAAAGATGCAACTGAGGAAAAAAAGTACACTTTTCTTGGATATGCAGGTCACCTTCCCCCATGTCATTGTCCTTTAAAGAACAACATCATCCGGAAATGGCAGCTGGCATCTATAATCCTAACATTTAGGAGGCAGAGTCAAGAGGACTACTGCAAGTTTGAGATCAACTTCATCTACATAGAAAATTGTAGAGCAGCCAGAACTACATAGGGATATGGTTTCATTCATTCATTCCTTTATTCATAAAAGATTATACTAGCTGTTTATTTAGCATTTGTGTTGTATTAGGCATGTTAGTCACTCTGCTGATAATCTTTGAACATTTGTGATGAGTCTGTTTTGAGTATAAAGGCAGGGCTGGAGAGATGGTTTAGCAGTCAAGATCACTGGCTGCTCTTTCTAAAGATCTAGGTTTGATGCTCAGCACTAACATGGTGGCTTACATCTGTCACTAATGCCAGTTTCAGGTCCTAGAGATCCCTCTCTGGCTTCTGTGACTATCAGGCATGCATGCAGTGCACTTCCATACGGACAAAACAGTCACATAAAATAAAAACGAATAAATCCTTTTTCAGAAACATAAAAGCCATGTGTAGGTTATATCAAAGCGCTGTGTCATCTTAAAAATAAGAGAAATGTGAATCTGCAGAATTTAGTTTGTGTGTTGGAGGCCTGGAACCATCCAATTAACAACTATGGAAGACCAAGGGATGATTCTGTTTCTTGATCCTACATTGCAGTTACACAGAAGGTTGAAGACATATTCTAAACCATTAGGAATCATCAAATAAGTTAACTCTATAATACTCATTATAGGTGTATTATTCTCCTCTGAATGCCATAAATAGCCACTACAGAAGCACTTACATGATGAGTAAGACTGTTAGGAGGTACAGTAACTACAAAGTTTTCATGCTGCCTTGGCCTTTGCAGTGAAGTTTAGCAGATACAGGTTGTTTGTGGGGAAGTTTTTTTGCTTGTTTTTGTTTTTAAGGTAGCCGTGCCAGGTATCCCGGGCTGGCTTTGAACTTGTGATCCCTCTGTCTCAGCCTCCCTAGGTTTGATTACAGGCATGCACCATCATGCTTATCTACTTGCAAGGGTTTAAAGGAGGTCTTATCTAAAGCTCTAAATCACTGGACTGGTTCTAACTTCCAGGTTTTGCATCTTACAGATTTTTTCTGGTCTTTTGGTGAATCTCAAAACCATTGAGCCTTGGCTGTCCTGGCTTCAGTACTTCAGTATTCCTCGATATGGCTACACAGTAAGTTGCCCTTGCTTGTCATTGCGACTGGATTCCCAAGCTAGGAATGGTGGGCTGTAGCCTAACCTTGTAATACCCTTGGCCATAAGTGTGAACCTGCCCCATCTAGTATCCTTCCAGAAATAGTGGGTAATAATTTCCTATTAGTCTTTGTTATTGGAAGGTCAAAGAGTCATCTGGGGTTTTCCATAGTCACCCCATTATTGGAGGGACATGAAGAGTGGGAAGTAATCACATAAAGGAGAAATGTTGACTAGTTGATGAAAAATATTGTTTCTGTTCAGTAAGGAAGTATATGAGAGGATAAGGGACTATAATACATAATTTATGTTGGAACTGAAATCTAGAGAGAAATAGACTATAATACTCAGCAACTATATTGGCTTTAGCAACTATTCAAATACAAAGAAAATGTGTCTTAATTCAGTAAAATGAAGTTTCTGATTTCCATAATTATTATTTTTTGTGAAAATAAGAAAAGAATGTTACTGCAAATCAACAGTGTTCATTGAGCATTATTATATCTTTTTGATTATAGATTTATTGATTATAAAATTGGAATGAGGGTACTCTGGGGTAGTCATGAGTCTTCCCTCTTGACTAATTGGAAGTTACATCCCAACCCTAAGTTTCTTGATTGCCTGGCTTGGTGTTTAATAAAAGAGAAGAAAGAAGATTGTGCATATGCAGCTTGGCATGCTTTTAGAAAGAACAATAAAGGTTAAATTTGAGCATATGATTGGAATAATTTTATGGAAACATTTTGGAATTTAATACTATTGATACTGCTCTGATTTTGTATGTATTCTAGGCTTTGCAGTATAATGAATTCTTGGGACAAGACTTCTGTCCAGGACTTAATGCAACTGCCAACGAAACCTGTAGTAACAGCTTTGCAATGTAAGTTTGTGTTCAGTGTCACATATGTTTGTGTCTTCCTGTGCTGTGCTGTAAAATAGCTGATGGAATGAGTCTGTAAAAGAAACCCTTATACACTAGGTCATGTGACCATGTCAAACAGCTCCTATAATCTATAACAGTCAAAGCCATATTTAATGTGAAAAAATGATTGAGATGTTTTAAAAGTTACCTTTGTTATTTTTTGATTGGGTTTGAATTCTTTTCAGAACTTTTGGGTTATAAATGGGCTGTGTTATAAATGTGGTCTCTGAACTGGAATGGATTATTATCAGACTGGAGTACAGTATTAAGCATGAGGACAGTGAGATCATAGCAAGAAGGGAGTCACTGGCCATTCTGACCCTGGTGCCGCTTTCTGCCCCACTGCCTTTGGGAACACCATGGGACTCATGACTGCCAGTTTGTGTGCATGCGTGCTTGTGTGTGTGTGTGTGTGTGTGTGTGTGTGTGTGTGTGTGTACGTGCATACTCCTTTAAACAGAATTGAAGCTCTCACTATAAGAGGATGCACTCAAGAACTAAAATGGAACTCAGGTTCTAATAAATTAGATGGCCTTATTTTAAAGTGTTAATTCTTCCATGATAATTATTAATGATATGATTTTTTTTATCTAAAGATTAATGAAAGCAAAGAATGCTAGTCTCCCAAATCTCTCCTGAATGTTCAGTTGTAAAAAATAATTGCCAGTGATAGGATGATTTTCTATTTGGGGTTGCTGACAGACAACTCTCCCAGGAGGGGTCTTCCCTTGAGTGCTGTTCTTCGCCTGCCTGCTTCATTTGGGTTTGATCTGGGTGTGGTGTCTTTCCAACACAAAGCCCCGGCCAGCCTGCGGGTCAGGAGGGAGTGGACAGGAAAAGCGGTGACACAGAAGGAAGGGTCCATTGCTGGGGCCGCTCCATCCCTCTGTGCCCTGCCTGCTCTCCTCCATCCCGCTGTGCCCTGCCTGCTCTACTCCAATCCGCTGTGCCCTGCCTGCTCTACTCCAATCCGCTGTGCCCTGCCTGCTCTACTCCAATCCGCTGTGCCCTGCCTGCTCTCTGAGGCTCTCTAGCTGAGCGTCTGCAGTGCGAAGGCTGGCAGACATGACTCTGGCTGAAAGGTGTTGCTCCACTCTTGCCAGATGTAGCTTTCTGACTTATTTCCTTTACTTTGCGGGTGAGCAAACTACAAGGGAAGGACTGGACCTGGCATAGCTACAGCTGAGGTCTTGACCTTAGTAACGAGTAGGTAATGAACAGGCACTCGGTAAGCGTGTCTGCACTTTGTAGACAGCGGCATTAGAGATTTAAAATAAAGGAATCTGAGGAGGCAAGAAACTTAGCTAATAGTGAGACCATGTTAATTAGACTAAGGTTGTTAAGCTACCTAATAGTTATACTCTTTTGGATTGTTTTAGGGATTAACTTAATTAGATACAAGTTGCTTAGCATAGAATCTAGTAAATTGTATGGGAGAGTGTTGATTTGGCTAACCAGTGGATTTCTGTAACAAAGAAATTCTTAATATGCTGATTAATATTTGGCAGGTACTGGGAAAGAACTTAATTGCTTCTGTATATTTAAATTTCAGATGCACTGGTGATGAGTACTTGGAAAGTCAGGGAATCGAGCTGTCACCTTGGGGACTGTGGCAGAATCATGTGGCTCTGGCGTGTATGATTATTATCTTCCTTACAATTGCCTACGTAAAATTGCTATTTCTTAAAAAGTATTCTTAAGTTCCCCTTTACCCTACTATTACTTGAATCCTATTAAATGTGGGCATTTTGATTGACATATCCAGTTGTTCTGTTTTTTTTCTTCACAGATATTTTGATGTACATAAAATAATTAACATTGAAAGCTAAGGACATTATTATTGCATATTGAGCTCATCAAATAGTGATCATGAGGAGAAAACCCAGCCAGATTTACTGATCTGAAAGGGGAGAGTTGAATTCTAAGTACTGCTGATGTGTCACTAATGTATCTAGTACAGTTCGTCATCTTTAAAGGTGAAATGCAGAAGCCAGGCCTGGTGGCACACCCTGGTAACCCTGGGACCTGGTACGCAGAAGCAGGGTTGTCATTCAAGGCTGGTTTGGACCCTATATTAAAACAACAGTAAGAGTGACAATCAGATAGTTCAGTGGCCCTTTAATAAGCTGTGAATTTATGGTCTGCTATTTGATAACTGATAAATATGTTTGGGCTATATTAGAAGTCTGAAATTTATGTCAGAAAAACCCTTTTTTCTCCAGGGTTAGAAAGAAAGTCAATGATCATAGAAAACATTGTATTTGATAAACTTACTGGTAGAATGCATAATTACCTTTACTGATTGGGGGTTTTGTTTGAGCTGTAAGTGTAGTAGAAGGCCAGAGGTCTTATGATATGGCTCTGTGTCATTTCTGGGACATTCTAGTCCTGAAGGGCCACTTACCCTCCTCTTTGGTGTAGCTCAGGGGTATAATCTTGAGTCTCCTGAGAAGCATTATCAAAACACAGATGCTAGGCCCTGTATCTGCCCTGCTGCCCCATAAAAAGTGTACCACTTAGAAACTTACAAACTCTCAGTCATTTCTAGCCTTTGAAATCATAGACTATGTCTTTTATTTATATACATTCCTGTACGTGTTCATCTCATTTCCATAAGCTTTGTTTACCAGTAACACACAAGTATTTACCAATTGATATGAGTGTTTTTTAACTTCCTTTTAATTATAAAGCAAGGTAACACAAGGTACAGTTCAGAGGACCACTTAAGCTGGATACATACTTGCAGCCACTGTTATTGCTCTAGAAATGGGGCACAGTCAACACACCTGTTCCTCATGCCCTCCCTGCCAGCTACGCCTCGCCTGTCTCCGTGGCTTGTTTCTGTACCAACACTTGTATACGTCTCCATGTGACCAGAGCATTCCTGGAGCTCAGTTTTATGTTCTTGTGTACACACATGTTCACGTGCATACAGAACTCCCCTTCTTTACATTTGCATTATTTTCATTTAAAAACATACTTTATTATATAATATAATTTGCATGTTAAATAACACTATAGTAGAATGATTTGATGTAACTTTAAGCAAAAAAAGGGGGGGGAAATGTAAATTCACAAACCCCATCCCCTTGAATACTCTTTTGCATTCATTTCATTATTATTTTTTAGAATTCCATACATGATGAGTACTATATTTATATCATTTCCACCCCACATTCCCCCTCCTCCAAGTCCTCCCATGCCCCCTCCCTCACAACCTTATGACCTTTTAAAAAGTTACACAAATATAACCTGCTGTCCATTTGATGTTGTTCATATGTGTTTAGGGTTGACCGTCTGTTATGGGGATCATGCAGAAGGCTGATTGTGTATCAGCCATTAGTTGCCTACAGTTCTTCACGTAGAAATGGAGCCTTTTAAGGTTTCCCCTATCCGTGATGGTGTCAACTGGTGGTGTCATGGTGCAGGTCTTGTTTGGGCAATCATATTGTTGAGATTTCAAGGGTTTGACTTCCCGTCATATATAGAAGATACGATCTCATAGCAGATATCATGGTCCTCTGGCTCTTAAGTCTGCCTGCCCTCTCTTTCACATTGTTCCTTTTATCATTAGATGTTGGGACTGTGTTGTAAGTGTATCAGTTAGGGATATGTAGCCCACAGTCAGTTATTCTCTGTATTTCAGCCAGTTAGGGCTTTATATAATAGTCTCCATCTGCAGCAGAAATGATAGTTCTTTCATGAGGGGTGGGAATTACTCTGATCTAATAATGTGGCAGTAGTGGATTCTCCTCTAGGCTCCATGACCTCACCAGCAACAGATAGTTGGCTAGGATTATAATATCAAGTGTGAATTCCCTTCTATTAAACAGCTCTTAAACCCTGCCTTGGGATACCTTGAGACACTATAAGAGATAGTCCTTAAGTAGAAGATTTCTACGTCTGTTCCAGCTGAATACCCTCAAGTCCTGTCTCCAAAGTGCACAGTGTCTTCAGCAGTAGGGTCTTACATCCAATGTAGGGATCCTTTATGGGGTACCATCCCCCTTTTGGGGATCCCTTAGAGGGCCCAGTTAACACTGCTGGAGAGGGGAAAATATCTAAGGGGGTCTGAGGGAAAGAACTGGCTCAGGAGATTGCGCCTCTGCATGTTTCTTTACTCTTCCATCTCCTTTTCTCCCCATTTCTTGGGGGTACCTGTATATATGCACATTTGCAGCAGTAATTCTTTTTGCAGTGCAGTCTGAGGCTTGAGCTTCTCAGGGTCAGCAAGGCAGATAAGATTTACACACAGCAATAAACTGCACTGCTAAGGGAAGCTTTCAACACCAATAGCTTAGGGCTGTGAATCAAAGAAAAGACCTAAGTTTAATTTGCACAAGACATGGAACCTGGCACCTTCCACTGTTCTGGCCTCAGTGGAGGCACAGGCCTTCAGGAAAGTTTACTTTTGCTGAGGATGAGCAAATGGGGAAAGAGGAGAAACCGGTAAATCTCTGAGCTAAGATCCTGTGTTAATAAACAGGGATGGAGTAAATGCAAGAAGTTTGAGAATCTTAGTGCAGGGTTAGTTGAATCTATAGATTATTTTTGGTAATACAGCCATATTCACACTACTAATTCTTCCAATCCAGAAGCATGGGAAATATTTCTATTATCTATTGTTTGCGTTGGTTTCCTTTTTCATGTCTTGAAGTAGCCATTGTAAATCATTCCTGTTTTGGTTAGGTTTATTCCTGGATACTTTCTTAGAACTGCTATGAATGACATATTTTACCTAATTTTTTTCTCTGAGAGTTCATTTTTAGTATATATGAGGGATAAGCCTTTTTATATTGATTTTTGTATTGATCTTGCAACTTTATTATACGTGTTCTTTAAATCTAAGAATTTTTTAGTATAGTCTATAGGATCTTTTAGGAATAACAGGAAATCATCTGCAAATAAGGATAATTTGTGTTCCTTTCCTACTTTTTTATGAATAGTCTTTTTCTTATCTTATTGATGATAGCTAAAACTTGGAGCAGTATATTCAATACAAAAGGGGAGAGTGGGCATCCCTGTCTCTTTCCTGATTTTTATGGAAATGATCTCAGTTCATCTCCACTTAGTACAATGTTAGCAGTAGGTTTGTTAAATATAGTGTTTATTATTTTGAGGTGTTATAAATCTGTCCCTAATGTCTTCTTTATCATGCTAGCAAGCTGAACTTGCTACATACTATTTCAGTATCAGTCAGTATAGTAGTGTACTTTCTGTCCTTGAAGTTTGCTTATATTGTATATTACATTTATGAACTTAGGTATGCTGAACCAACTTTGTATCTTTGGGATGAAGCCCAACTGGTCATGATATATAATCTTCTAAATGTGTTCCTCAAGTGCTTTGTTGATTATTTTCGTATCTATGTTGTTCTGTAATTTTGTGTTGTTCTGTAATTTTCTGTTGTTGTTGTATTTTTCTTGTTTTGGGCAGCAGGACAACACTGACTTCATAGAATGATTTAGTAATGTTCCTTCTCTTTACAGTTTGTGGAACAAATTCAGAAAGATTTGTATCAGTTCTTTGAATGTTCAATAGAATTCAGCAGTGAATCTATCTGGTTCTAGAATTTTCTTTGTGTGGAGACTGAATTTAGCTTTGACCTAATTTCTAGTAATGAGTTTGAGTTCTTTATTCCTTTTTGGTTTTATTTTTAATGTATCATATGCTTTTAGAAATCAGCTTTTTAATACCTTAAGTTTTCGAAGTATTCTCTAATGATATTCTGGATTTCATTGGGGCCTATTGTAATAATATCCGATTTTGGCCCCAGTTGTATTTAGTTGGGTCTTCTCCCTCATTATTTTTTTTTCAGATTGGCTAAAAGGTTTGTCAGTTTTACTTTTTCAAAAAGTCAGCTCTTTGATTGATTTTGTATATTATTCTTTTAGTCTCTTTTTTTTATTTCTTTCCTAATATTTATTATTTCTTGCAATTCATTAGGTTTGGGACTGTCTTGCTCTTCTAGAGGCTCGAGAGGGGAATCAATAAGTTGTTGATTTGAGATCTTACCTTTCCTTGGTCTCCTTTCTAAATAGATCCACACTTAACAATTCACCCTTTTAAAAGCAAATACATTTGAGAAGAGTCCCTGCATCTTTGATCACGTTGGTAGACTATTAACTCATCCCTGGCATCCTGTCCTATTGTTATCCTATTCACTCTGGAGACGTAGTTCTGTATTTTAGTCTTTGAGCGTCCAGGAATGTTTCAGTAATTTTGGCAAGTATCATGACATCTCATTTTCCTGGTTACTGCATGAGTATCAAGGCCAAACAATTTTTCCAGTTTGGAATATATTTCCTGAATATAAGGTACCTTTTTGTAAGGTAGAAATTTTAGAAAGAAATATTTACCTATACACAAAATATAAATACCAAGAAAAACTGAAAATTGTCACTATTGTGACTCCCTTCTTTGCCTCTGACCCAGCAGTGTACAAGTTCCAAAGTTACTCTTTTAAGGAATCAGAATTCAAATCTAACTTATTATACTTCTATGCTATAGTTGCCTATTGTATAGTTTTATTTAATGTTTTAAGTTACCCATGATGTAAACATCTAAGTTTAAAATTTGAGTCTATTTTCAATAAAGTAAAAAACAAGATGTTAGAGAAATTCACTGTATATATTTTTAGTAGTTTCATTTTCGTTTTATTGGCTTTTAGAGCTAGTCTGTAACGATGGACAAGTAAATTTTACTTAAAAGAAACCACAGGAATAAATGATTGCTAGTTGCTCCTCATTTACATTCCA